CAACTTATGTTGCAAAATAAGCAAATCGATGTCAAGTAAACAACGTTTAGTTCATTTGCCAAATTTTAGTCACAGTCGTAACATTCCAGATATTCGTTGTCCTGACGGCCGCAAGCCTATAAACGGATGTCTTAGTGGTTTATGTGCAATTGGATACGAATGCACGGCTCAAGACTTCTGCTGTGAAAGTACGACTCCTCCAGCAAAAAGTGAGCTATTTTTTACTGCATTTCTTATATATTATAAGCTTGTTTTAACGCAGACGTCTGTCCGGATGGCAGTACAGCCGTTGAGGCATGTACTTCGGATTATCGCTGCTCAAATAAAAACTTGGTGTGTATCGATGGCTTTAACTGCTGCAGAAATATGAGCAAAAGTATGGTTCCAGGACAGCTAGATCTTTGTAACTTAATCTAATTTCCAGCATGTCCAAGCGGCTACGTCACCGAAGGACCCTGTTTGGACGGTTTATGTCCACAGCGGTATACATGCCTTGATGGTCTCTGCTGTAGCCTGGTAGGAGACGTTTCGAAATACACGAAGTTTAACCATGGCATGTTTGATTGTAAAATCGTACTAAACCTGTGGTAGCCAGAATGTAACTTTTCATTTTTATAGCGGATCGTAATCAACCAGCAGACAAAGGTCCAGATTCTTCCTGCTCTCAACCGAATGACTGTTACGGGGCGAGAAGCAAGTTAGCAACGTGCTACAAGGGAGTATGTACCTGCTTACCTGGCGCCACAAAGGTTGGCAACATGTGCATCGCACGTCCAACGGGTACGCACTCTTCAGATTAACTAGAGCATCGCTGCTTCTCAGGTCATCTAAGGATGACCAAACCTTACCTTCAGTACTTCTGGTATAAAAATTAAACGAAACAACAGAACCTAGAGTTCAGATTTGCATTAAGCGTTGCAATAATGCGGTGTATTGGACAATTTTAATACGTAGGTTGGAGTAGACACTAAAAAGTGAAACGGGGTGATTGGAAAGAACGGCCCTAGCGACCTCAACAATAACGGCATGAAGTTGTTGTGGTTTTGTGCCAACAACGGACTGTTCATTATGAACACCTTCTTGGAGCAGCGAAAAGTGAATCAGTACACCTGGTACCGGAAATCTTGTGCACAGAAGTCGATGATCGATTTGATAATCGTATCGTCTGAATTAAGACGCTCAGTAATGGATGTTCGCGTTAAGAGAGGCGCAGAGCTATCAACCGATCATCACCTTGTTG